TTTACAATTATAGAAGATGAAACTTTATGTAGATCTTGGTTAGCAGTGTCTCAAGATCCCATTACTGGTAATAGTCAGACTATGGCTATATTTTGGGAACGAGTACTTGTTTATTTTAATTCACAATTGAGCGGTGAATCAAATCGAAACCGTATTTCTTTGTCTCACCGTTGGTCTGGCATGCAAAAGGCAATTAATAAATTCTGTGATTTTCTTGAACAAATTCAACTGAGGCAACAAAGTGGAACAACTGAGGTAGACATGGTAAAATTTATTTGTGTTATTAAATATCAATTTTCTTTTCTAAATGTATACTTGTTATTGAAATGTTTGTAATTTTTTTTTTGTAGGTCGCTGAAGCGAAGCGGATGTATCATGCAATACAGAAAAAACACTTTACATTTGATACATGTTGGGATATTTTGCACCGAAGTTGTAAGTGGGATGAATTTCGATCACAACCCAAAAGAAGCACGCAACATGCTGATCCATCTTCGAATCCACCAACTAAATATGACGCATTTCAATCCAACCAGAATAATGCGGTGCACGAACAACCATCTAATACATCAACACGACCAATTGGTACTAAGGCAGCGAAAGAGAAGTTGAAGAATCAAAAAACGCACGATAGTAGATTTGATGAAATGGCTGCCAACCAATCCAAAATTGTTGAAGTGTTATCAACTATCTCCGCTAGAACTATTGAGCGAGATGAACAAAAGGCGATAGACCGTGAGCAAAAGGCTGCAGAGCGTCGAAGAAGGGCTGAAGATAGGGAGGAACAACTAAAACTCCTGTCTATGATGAATGAAAGAGAACAACGAAATAAAGATCATAAAATAATGTCAATGGACATGACAATTTTAAATCCTATGTAAAGGGCGTACTACGAAGATCTTCAACGACAGATTTTATTTCGAACAACTAATAGATTGCCTTGAAAGATTTTGTATTAGTGGGTTTCATCTATTGGTTTTATTATTTAAAAATAGTAGTATATAACTTGTATTGGTTAGTTTTATTGGAATTATTAATGTGATAAGTAATAATGTAATCACAGTTTTATTAAATGAAACATAATGATTTATGGAACATCATATTTCAAGTTCAATGTGGATTTATGGATATTTCCTATTCATTCCTTTTTTAATTAAACAATACATAAGAAACAGCAAGAGCAAGGCATAAAAGAACCTGTAAAAATAGAGCAAATCATCAGAAACATCATATTTGAAGTTCAATGTGGATTTATTGATTTTTGCCATAGTTTTTGCCATATCTAAAGTTCAGATTTTATGGATTTTATGGATTTTTATTAAACATCACATTTTATGAAACATCAGATTTTATGACTTTTTGCCATGGATTTTTGCCATATTTGAAGTTCAACATGTAATTGTTGCCATGCCTTTTTTTTGGGAGATCTTTGGTCTGTAGTTCAACGTGGATTTTTTTTAATTAACCTTGTCTTCTTTAAAATGATATTTCAAGTGAAGGCCATTGACTACTATAGCATGATTTATACTAGAAAATCATAACTGAATAATGACCTTTTTGTAGCATTTTTAGAATGTACATAATCATGTCCTTTGTCAAATAGGCATTAAAATGAAAAACTACAATATGAAGTGGTAATAACTGAATAGGCCAATGTCATAACTGAATAGGTTTTAAATAACCTCGTCCTCTTTAACAAATTGACCTAACAAAAGGTTGTTAAAATAACAAAATACAAAACCATGCAAATACATAAAGTCAAACATATCAACAGTCATTATCTGGTGGTGGTGGTGGTGGAGGAGGGAAGTAGTGATGGTATATGTCATTTACGCGATGCTCAATCCTATCTATGCGATTGTTTGCCACTTCATGACGTCTTTCAATGTCCACACGGAAGTCACCAAATTGTTGAATTAATGAGTTCTGCGCAGTGGCAAATGTATCAAACTGAGTACCCAACGAATTGACCTGATTAGCCATTTGATGTTCCCATTGAACGCGTTGATTATAACGTTGTTCTTCCATGGCCAAAAACTCAGTCCAATATTGAGGTTGTTCAATTGATGGCATCACATTGGTAGGAGCATTATCTGGTGGACTTCATCTTCTGAATCTTTTGGAGCATTAACACTTCCCATTAAATTGGAGGCTGCACCAGCACGGGTCACTGTATACTGATTAATGGGTGAATGGATTTTGATCTCCATTTCATCTACAGGGCGAACCCTAAAATGTTTGAAAATTTTTGTCAAGAGTGCCCCAAACAGTAATGACCGGCCCGTGAATTGAGCTTGATTTGCGAACATCATTTCCTTCATAATTATGTAACACACATCTAACTTATGGCCAACTTCAAAACAGTATAACAAATAGGCATTAAAATATGGGACCGCATCATGATGTCCTTTTTTTGGAGTGACATTTTCTACAATCCACCGGTGGAGAATCCAAAGATAAGGTTTTAAATGTCTTGCTTGTAAACTAGTCCCAGTAAATCTGTTCTGACAAATAGTAGTATATACATCGGTAGCATTACCAACAATATTAGCTAACTCAGCCTCACTCTGAAAATGGATATTTTCATCACCTACCTCAACTCCAATAATGCTTGCCAAAGTAGGAATATCAAATTGTATACTCTTTCCTTTCACATATGATAAAATAGTAAAATTTCCATTTTCTTCCTGAGTACCTCTTAGGTGAACATAAAATAGAGATACCAGCCGTGAATATACCTTTTGGGGTAAATTAATTAAATTTAGTCATCCCATTGCTTCAAGTTTACTAACTAATAGTGCATCATATTGAGGTGGCAGATTTACCGTCCTCTCTGTTACAATAGGTCGGCTGGAGAAGTTTGAAAAGGCTAGTTCATGACTTTCACTGAGAAAATCATCGGTAGGATATGACTGATTTTGAGGCTGTTGTTCTTGGCGTCGTGGAGGGTTGGAACTTTCATTAACTTGTGGTCTCGCTCTTTTAGTTATAGGCATGATGTCAATATCTGTTAAATTTAAATGAATATGTGTTACATATGAAAGCTGAATTACAGTTGGCTTGGTGTTTTTCTGGTGTTATGCTGAATATAAATATAGAATTCAAACATGAACTTGGAATTCAAATGAATGTAGTTTTAATATTACAATGCATATTAAAATGGAAAAACATGAAAGCATTTAATATGCATACTAATTGGTTTTGCATACTAATGGAAAATGCATACTAATAAAGTGTATACTGAAATGGAAAGCATTTTTATGCAGTGTTTTTACTTCATGTTATGCAGTAATTGGTGTATGCTTAGAATGACACATTAATTTTTATATTATAGTGTTTTAATATTAGACAAAATATCAAAGTGTTTTTACATCATGTCATTTTTATACTGAAGTGCATACTGATTGGTGTATGCTTAATGGCACATTAATTTTTACTTCATGTTATGCAGTGTTTGTTGTTCAGAAGTGCATACTGAAACTAAAAATCATCATATGCCAGCGAATGTGTTCTGTATCACAGAAGTAAATTTTTAAAATATTGAACATGAATGTAGTTCGATTAAAACATGAATTTTATACTCTTGAGAAGGTTAAAGTTGAACAAATAAAGCATAAAGTTGAACAAATAAAGCATGCACACTGAAAGGCAAAAAAAAAATAATAATAACAAAGGGCCAGTTGACCAACCGGTTGACCCGTGCCATGCAACCTACTCTGTTTTGGATGCTGCCTTCTTGTTCCTACTGATGTTAGCTTTCTTGATTCAGATGGTTTGCCTTGCTGATTCTGTGGATTCACACTTACAATATAGTGAATATGCAGAGTTTGGGATTAGAATTTGGTTAAGCCGAATTTGAAGGTGGTGGTGGAGGGAATACAGTGAATGTGTTCTTATAGAGGCAATCTGTGGGCAGAGGTATTCAATGAATAGAGTGAATTTTTTGATGACAGGTTTGTATACAATCTTGAGCTGATATAGAGGGTGAATTATTGAGGTAGGTGGTAAGAAAATTAATACTCAACAACCGTGGTGTGTGTAAAATAAGGCATGGTAGGTGGAATGAATTCAATGAATGGTAGGTGGTGTGTGTAAAATGAATGGTAGGTGGTTCAAACGTATGCAGTGTCTGTAATATGCCATGAATGTAGGTGGAATGCATTTATCCACTGACTAAATGAATGGCAACATTATTAAGTATTTTTTAACTCTATATGTTGAATGCATTTCAACTGAGGCAATAAATGAATGGCAAGATCAACATCAGTAAATGAATGGCACATCAATAAATTTGTATAAATTTGTATATGCACAAATAATGATTATGCAATAATTTAAGATATTATTATTAACTTAAGATCAGTAATTTAAGACATTATTATTAAATTATGATTATGCAGATGAACATCAGTAATTTAAGACATTATGATTATGCACATGAACATCAGTAATTTAAGACATTATGATTATACACATGAACATCAGTAATTTAAGACATTATTATTAAATTATCATTTAAGACGTGATTATTAAATGTGCATAAATGGATGTGGTATTATCATTTGTGGCACATCAATACTGAATTGAACACAGAATTTAAGACATGATGATTAAATTTATGTGGTATTATCATTTGTAACTGATTAAGACATGATTATTATCATTTGTAATTCTCGTTAATTGAACACAGAACAATTCTGAATATTAAAGATTGGATCATTACAACAGCACATCATCACATAACTTCTGAATTACTTGGTTAATATAGTGCATCATAATGAAGATTACAAACAAGACAACCTTCCATTCCAAAACTATAAACAAAATTACATGTATTGATGTCGTGAATTTAGTGTTCACCATGAAGATGCCACATATGTTCTACTAAATCATTACGGAGGGCATGATATGCATCCTTATCTCTAATACCTAAATGACGAGACAAAAATGATTGGAAGTCATTGGTAGGAGTAGAGGAAAGTTGCACTGGTGTGTTGGTTGATGAAATTTCATAATCGAAATCAAGGTGCTCCTCCCTCTCATCTTCGACAATCATATTATGTAATATAATGCAACTCTTCATTATGTTGGCAAGCATTTTCGGATCCCAAAAACGTATAGCACCACCTATAATTGCGAATCGAGATTGAAGGACTCCGAATGCCCGCTCTACATCTTTCCTGGCAGACTCTTGCATTATTGCAAAATATTGTCTCTTTGCTCCTTGGGAAAAAGAAATTGTTGAACCAGTGTTACCCATTGAGGGTATATACCATCAACAAGGTAATAACACATATCGTAACTATGTCCATTAATAGTGTAATCGACAGGGGGAGCTTTACCTTACGCAAGATCAGAAAACAAAGGTGATCGGTCCAACACATTCAAGTCATTGTGTGAGTCAGGCATTCCAAAAAATGCATGCTAAATCCACAAGTCATAAGATGCTACTGCTTCAAGAATAATGGTTGGCTTTTTTTGATGGCCTACATATTGACCTTGTTATGCCTTTGGACAATTTTTCCACTCCCAATGCATGTAATCTAAACTTCCCAACATACCAGGAAACCCCCAAACCTCCCCAATAGCAAGTAATCTAGCAATTTCAGTTGGTGTCGAAGATCTCAGATATTCTACTCCAAAGATTTCAATCACTGAATTACAAAATTGTTGCAAACTTTGAATTGCAGTGCTTTCAACTGCATCTATTGCGACACCATATGACAATATTCTCATTGCTGAAGTCATTTTTTGTAGGGGAGATAATCCAGCTACATGAGCTGCATCTTGTTTTTGAACAAAATATAAATTGTGTGCTTGGATTGCATTCAAAATTCGCAAATACAAAGGACGACGCATTCGAAAACGTCTCCGAAATATTGTAGGTGAATGCACTGGATTTACAGCAAAATAATCTGCAAATAATCTGTCATGACCCTGCCTTCTATCTCTACGTATATACTTATGGCCTAAAACAGAACCACCTTTTTTTTTTAGCTATCACTTGACTTAAGAATCTGAAGCATACTACTATTATTCTGCTCATAAACCCGTAAAAGTGTGATCATATATTCATCATCAGACTCATCAGAGGAGGAGGATGAAGAAGAAGATGATGAAAATGAAGTCAATATCATGGATTTGAAGGTATTCATTATGCTCTGTTTTGTTTAAGCTATGATCGTATCAGTTGTGTGGAATTGTCTGGCATATGAATAATGTGTTTATATGAGATTTTAGAAGTAAATCATTATTAGAGGTAAACCAAAATGACATATATGTAATGGAGGGAAAAAGAAATAGGAAAAGAATTGGGAACAGAAATGGAGGGAAACAAAAAAAATAAATAAAATTAATTGCCTTACCGATCGACCCACCGGTCGACTAACCGGTCGCCCCTCGCCCAGTTCACATAGGTGGGTTCAAACAATTCAAAAAGGTAAAAAAAAAAATATTCAACCTTACCGGTCGACCAACCGGTTGACCCACGGGATTTTGATGCACTGTTAGAGCAACTGATATTAAATTGAAAAAATGAGCTATTTTTTACTCAAATTTGATAAAAAAAATACTGAACCGTTAGAAATGCTCTAAAAGTCACTAACTCAGATATTTAATTAGTTAAAATAATAAAAATTATTATTTTTTTTTATTAATTACATGTCATATTTAATTTTTATTATAATTAAAAATGTCATTACAGCATAATATATCAATTCAAAATAAATAAATAAATAAAAATGGTGTCAACCTTACTGGATTAACAGATCATAGGGAGGATTTAATTCAGATGAACAAAATTATTTTTAAAAAGATGGGGCGACATTATTGTTTTCATATTTCATAATTTTCACAGTCTACTCTCAAGATCAAGTCATCTAATTTCATTGGGTATATACATAATATAAATCCAATTTCTTTGTATCATCATCATCAGATCTCTATTTTGAAAATGTACTTGGTGGTTCACTCTCACAGATCTCATTTTTCTCTGTAAAGTAGCTTCGATTTTGTTTTCATGGTGATTTAACTTTCTTCTGCAACTAATGAGTCCACAACAAGTCCTATCTTCAAACCCATCTCACTCACATTCCCAAATTCAATCTTCACAACCCCCCCACCCCCATTTCTGATTCGTCATCAACGAAAAAAAATCAAACAACAATGAGTTCACAAGCACCCAAATCTTCAAGATCTTCAAAAACCCAGAACCAACCTTCAAGATCACCTTTCTCTTCTCTCACCTCTCACCTCGCCATGGTTGAGCTGAAGCAAAGAATCCTTACTTCTCTCTCTAAGCTCTCCGACAGAGACACCCACCAGATCGCCATTGAAGACCTCGAAAAGATCATCCAAAACCTCTCTCCTGATGGCGTTTCGATGCTCCTCAATTGCCTCTACGAATCCACCAACGACCCAAAACCCGCCGTGAAGAAAGAGTCTCTCCGCCTCCTCACCGTGCTCTGCGCTTCCCATGGCGATTCCACGGCGACCCATTTGACGAAAATCATTGCCCACATTGTGAAGAGGCTCAAGGACTCTGATTCGGGGGTTAGGGACTCGTGTCGCGATGCGATTGGGGCGCTTTCGTCGCAGTATTTGAAGGACGAGGGAGAGAATGGGGGTCTTGGGTCGGTGGTTTCGCTGTTCGTGAAGCCATTGTTTGAGGCTATGAATGAGCAGAACAAGTGGGTTCAAGGTGGGTCGGCAATGTGTATGGCCAAGATGGTGGAGTGTGCTTCGGACCCACCTGTTGTTTCGTTTCAGAAGCTTTGTCCTAAGATCTGCAAGTACCTCAACAGTCCGAATTTCTTAGCCAAGGCTGCTCTGTTGCCAGTGGTCTCAAGTTTGTCTCAGGTTTGTTAAATGCTTGATTATTTCAATGTTTGTGCATTTATAAAATGCTTTTTTTTTTTTTTTTTCTATTTCAAATTTGATGCTTCTGTTGTGTCAAGTTTGTGATTTGATTGAGTTTTGGACTTTGTTTGATTGCCAACGAATTGAAGGAAAAGAGGATGGAATCTGTGCATAACTGTTGTCAATTGTATATGATTCAATTGAAAACTGTCTTATGTTTGTTATTGTGGTTGAACTTCTATGCTTTGTGTAATTGCGGTTGTGGTGTACTAGAAGAAAGTGAATTGGATTCTTGACATGAATTGTGTCCCATTTTGACGATTCAACTGTGTTTTGCAATGTTTGAGTGCTGAGAAACCATGGGATAATCACGATATGAATCTGATTCTACAATAAATTGAAATTTATACAATGTTTGGTTGCTGAGAAAATGCAGGGAAAGGGTAGAAAAAGAGAACAAAACATGGCCTGGCTTCAAGTTTGAAGTTTTCATTTACATGTCTATCTTTTTTCCCCCCTCAACTGAAGTATTATGAATCCTCATTAATATCTAAGGACTATTCCGTATTAGGGTTCTTTCTTTCAAAGCAATTGTAATTTATAGTTGATCATGCTTTGATCCTGTATTGGAATGATATATTTCAAGAGGATTTTCAGTTTTGAGAGGCTTGTGGAATCTTATGAATAATTTTGATTGCCTGATCAGAAATGAGCAAGATGTGTGCAAACCTCTATCAGGTCAAGGGGATGACTTCGCCTATTGAGTTGAAATGAGTAATTCTCTTGGATTTTTTTATAAATGTGATTCTTTTGTTTCTAACTGCCATGTCTATTTTGTATGAGATATCGAAAGTTATTTAAAACTCATTCCAAACTCAATACATTCATGAGTAGCCTAGGTTGTATACTAGACCTGTGAGATATCAGAACTCATTCAAAAATTAAAGGAGCAGATATAAAAACTTCTTTATTATACACTTCTTGCAGGTAGGGGCTATTGCACCACAAAGCTTGGAAGCATTGCTGCAAAGCATTCATGAATGCCTTGCTAGTACAGATTGGGCAACACGTAAAGCTGCGTCTGATACATTAAGTGCTTTGGCATTACATTCGAGTAACTTGATTACAAATGGTGCTACTTCCACAGTGACAGTGCTCGAGGCTTGCCGCTTTGACAAGGTATTTATGTTAATCTTTCCTCTAGATAGCAATCCAATTTAGAGCCTTCTGTTGCATTCGGCACCAGCATGATGTCCATGTCTATAGCTACAGTACCTATGGTTCATTGGTTATTGCATTTCAGTTTTATGGTGTCATGAGGCCGGCCTGGCATCTTGTACACATGAAAAACAGTATTTTTGCTTTTGGCATTATTACATGATCTTTCTTCAGTGGGTTTTTAAAATATTATTCAATAAGAATCTTAGATTAGATGCTGAATATTTTCTCATGGGCATTTGCTGACCTAGAGAATCTAGAATATGAACTTCTAAATAGTTGTTATGTAAGAGAAAGATAATTAGTCCTTGCCTGCACATCAGTGTTTTTTTTTCCCTACTCTAAAAATGCACTTGATTTTACATTTTTCATTTTCACCTTGTTTGTGAAGCTATTTCATAGCCGACCCCATTTGATGCGACTTAAGGCTTGGTTTGGTTTGGTTTGGTTTGTGAGGCTATTTCATCTTCCCTTCTGGTAGAGGTCCTTGGGTGGTAGGGAGGGCTCCCACCTGAGGGTGGGCCATTTGGAATGTTTGATTTTGAATTTTATCCTTATTTTCAAGCTATTTATATTTGTCATTCTTAATCCTTGAACTCGGAGCATGTATATGATAGTAGACTGGTGAAGAAGGAATAATCTCCAAACAAATTCAGTCTTATGCATGATGGTGAATCTCAGCATGTTAAGATTATTGTATAGGCCAAAGACATCTTACTGTGCAAAAAATATGGATACATAGTGGGTGTTTGGAAAGTGGGTTTTTTTGTAGGTGTTTTTAGTTGTAGGATATTATTGGAGAAAAATTTTTTTGTGTTTGGGAAAATAGTTGGGTTTTTTTATGGTTGGATGTGATGTTTGTGATAGAAAAAGTAAAATGATTATGGGGCTTGATGTGATATTTTGTTTGGATTTATTTTTTTTTTGGTTTTGTAAAACATTTGTCTTGTAGTGATAAAAAACAAAAAAAAAAACCCAAAAACCAAGTTCCCAAACACCGCCATAATGTAGCTTCACCTTTCTTATTCTTTGTGCAATGTGAATGATTGTCACATCTCAGGTAAGTGAGTGTTAAAATCCTTCTTGTTCTGTTATATGGACCCTGATTTAGGTTCTATCAATATGAGAGGCGAGACGATGCGTCATAAATATCCAATATACTGTACTTTTTAATGTTTAAAAAGCATGGTGGAAGGTAGAAGGGAGCATGATTGAAGCTCCAGAAGGGTGTTTGGGGGGGGGAATTGTCGGAGCCGGATGTTAAAGGAGGTTGAGAGGATAGAGGGGGGGACTAGTTTTGTCTTCAAGCTATTAGGGACACTTGCAGTTTGTTTGTCTGTCTGTTTTAACTGGCAATTCGTCAGTGCTTATGCAGTTCTAAATATAATCTCTTAACTTCTATTGCTAATGTTGTTCTATACATGCTTTAAATTAGCTTCAGTATATAAAATTGGAACAATTGCTTGAGGTTATTGTATGCCAGTCCCATTCGATATTTCATTGAATTTACAACTCTCAATTACGGTTTACCTATGGCATGAAAATTGACATGATTAATTGATTTTTCAGATTAAACCTGTCAGAGATAGTATGACAGAGACACTGCAGCTATGGAAGAAGATTTCAGCGAAAGGAGGGGATGGAGCTTCTGATGACCGGAAAGCTTCATCTCATGGTAAGCTTAGCAGTACCTATTCTTCGTTAGAGTGCTCCTTCAGTTAGCTGATTGATTTTCTTATGACATCTTCATTACTTACTGTTTCCTTCTTGTCACTCCTTCAGATGGTGAAATTTCTGAACCAGGTGAGTTCTCAGGAAAAAAGGACCCGAAAGTTCCAAATTATGGTGAGACATCAACAATGGATTCATCCTATGGATCACCTCCTACTGATTCTGCTTCCAAAGTAAAGGGGGGCAACATTTTTGACAAAGCAGTTGGGATATTGAAGAAGAAGGCACCTGCACTAACTGACAAAGAATTGAACCCAGAATTCTTCCAGAAACTTGAAACAAGAGATTCAGATGATTTGCCCGTAGAGGTGGTTGTCCCTAGTCGATGTTTAAATTCTGCAAAGACACAGAATGAGGGAGAGTCAGAACCAAATGATACAGATTCAAGAAGAAGGTCAAAGGGGAACTCCCAGCAAGATGATGGATCTGCCAACATCAAGTATCGTAGCACAGAGAAAGAAACTGCTGGTGTGCTTCCTAGACAGCGAGATTTTGATGACTTTACCCGGGATAAATGGGCTGAAGAGAGAGCTAATGGAAGAGACTCAAAAACAAATTGGTTGGCTATCCAGAGGCAGTTATTACAACTGGAGAGACAGCAAGCTCATCTTATGAATATGCTGCAGGTCTGTTAAATTTATTTGCACTGGTTCCCATATCTGCTTATCTCACTCCAGTTTTCATGCATCGCAGGATTTCATGGGTGGGTCCCATAACGGCATGGTTACTCTAGAGAACAGAGTACGGGGTCTAGAGAGAGTTGTCGAGGACATGGCACGCGACTTGTCAATATCCTCAGGTCGAAGAGGTAGTAATTTTATGATGGGATTTGAGGGATCTTCTAATAGGCCTTCAGGCAAGTACAACGGCTTCCCTGACTACTCTGGTGCTAAGATGGGGAGAAGCGGTGATGGGTGGACCCCATTTGCGGAGAGGTATACTGCATCTGATAGTATATTGTCAGCAATGAGAGGAAGAGGACCTGCTTGGAGATCTGACGTTCCTGATACTTGGGACTTTCACACATATGGAAAAAATGGACAGATGGCATCTAGGAGAGTCATGGGTGGTGGTCCGGTGGATGGTAGGTCCCCTAAGTCAGACCATGAGAGTGACCAGATTGGTGGCACGAGAGCTTGGGATAAAGGAGTTGGACCTATTAGGCTCGGTGAAGGGCCTTCTGCAAGAAGCGTGTGGCAAGCTTCGAAGGATGAAGCGACATTGGAAGCGATTCGGGTAGCTGGTGAAGACACTGGAACTGCTCGAAATGCAAGAGTAGCTATTCCGGAAATGACTGCAGAAGCTTTGGGGGGTGACAATAGTGTGCCAGAGCGGGACCCAATATGGACTTCTTGGAGTAATGCAATGGATGCGATTCATGTAGGCGATATGGATTCGGCTTATGCTGAAGTTTTGTCTACAGGTGATGATTTCTTGCTAGTGAAACTAATGGACAAATCAGGAGCTGTAGTTGATCAACTCTCACACGAGGTAGCAAGCGAGGTTTTGCATGCTGTTGCACAGTTTCTACAGGAGCCAAACTTGTTCGACATTTGTTTGTCTTGGATTCAACAGGTATTTCTTCGTTTTCTGGTTTTATAGACATCTCAAGCTGGTCCATCTGCACTAGATCTCTTAATTAATTTTCACTCATCAAATCGAAATTTTGTCAAGGGAAATTCATAATAACTGGAAAAGTTACTGTTTTCATTTGGCTAGCATTTACAGGCAATTATATATGCGTTCCACAAATGCTTGTTTCCTTTGCAACTGTCCCGACGAGGAGGAAATGCGAAATAGAAGTTGAATGGTTAAATTTTGTCCTTAATGCAAGCAATTAAAACAATGAAGGAACATAGAATAGAGTCATCGTCTGAAAATGCTAAATTATATATATTTCATTTTCATTGGAGAAGAAAGATAAGGAACTATGTCGGGAGACACCTATACTTTTTTAAATCGAAAGCCCTTGTATCAGAAAACCACCATGAATATGACCTTTGGCGTTCGTAATCTTGGCAAGAAACCTGATGTTATTTGTCTCTCTGCAACAATAAAAGTTTAACGATAAAATTTTGTTTTTAATGCAAGCAATTGAAATCAATAAAGGAACATAGGGTAGAGTCATCATTGTCTGAAATGCCAAATCATCTAGCTGAGTACAGCTGAGCAGTACATGACATTATAATAGTTGAGTTGGATATTCCTTAATTGTATCGGACATAATTTGAAAAACTGTCCTGTAACCTGTTTTTATGGTTTCCTTCTTCCTAAACATTATCAGTAACTTGGAAAGATCGTTAACGCATGCTGATTTGCATATTTTGTTACTTCATTCTGCTTCTGTTCTGCAGTTGGCAGACCTCGTGACAGAAAATGGAACCAATGTCTTGGGCATTCCAACAGAAGTTCAAAACGAACTTCTGCTAAATTTACATGAAGCGTGTTCATCAATTGACCCACCAGAGGACTGGGAAGGCCTGGCACCTGGCCAACTCCTGTTGCAGTTGGCATCGGCATGGGGAATCGATCTACAACAGCTGGTGAAGTAATCACTAGCTCTACAGTGTTGGGTTATTATGGATTCTGTATTTTATGACCTTTGGCTTCTGGTGATTGTGATGAACATGTATTTACACAGATAAGGTGAATTAGCTCATGTTGTTGAAAATGTAACTAGAACTACCAGTTTGTTGCAATTGGCATCTGCGAGGGGAATTGATCAGCAACAGCTGAAGAAGTAATCACCTGGCTCTACAGCCGGCTGGATTCTGGATTGTGTGTTTTGAGTTTTGGTATATGGTGTTTGGTATAAAACATGTATTTACATAGATGAGGTGAATTAGCTACCGAACCATATTGTTGAAAATGTAGGTAGACCTTGTAATACCGATTTGATTGAAATTGGAACTGGACATATTTTTTGTGTCCTAATATTTGTTGAGGGTAGCAGATGACAATGTTTGTCTACTTGTATTCTGTTATTTTTGCAACATGGTGAATTTTATTCCAAAAAGGTAAATCTAACATGTTCTGTTGTTGCATCTGATCCTCAGTGAAATCCAACATTACTGTTTGGACCTGCCATAATAGCCTGCTCATTCAAACTGGAATTGATCTCTCTGTGGAGTTTAGACGATCCATTCTTGTGACAATAAGGTAGTCAAAACGGTGTACATGTTTCATTCCATGTACTGCAGGAAAATGCTCGTCACATGTCTCATTTGCGTGAGGGATGTTGTTTGCACGTTGTATACTTCAAACACTATTTTGGGAAGTTTGTTGAAAGCTTACTTTTTGACTTTTTTAAAATTTTTTTAGAAAAACATATAAAAAAATAAAAAGGTAATGTCATCCAAAAAAATTAAAAAGCCAATAAGTTAGCTTTTAACCTAATTGCCAAAAGAGGCCGTACGAGGTTCTCTGGAGTCTCTGATTCAGCTATTGACACATTTGAAGAAACTTCAGAGTTGCATATACCACATATATGCCATGAGATAATAGGCATCTTCTTTGCTGAGACTTGCAAACAACAAATGAATACACCCAAGAAATTTTTGATGAAATTCAATATTACAGAAAATACACAACCTCTGGAAGAATAGTAACAACTTTTATATACACGAGTTAAATACCTCACGGGGACTAAAAAATTACAGGGTTTGTTTGGTTTGTATTTCTGAAAAAATTTTGGAAAATTTTCTCTACAAATAAGTTTTTAAAAGTAATCAAACCAAACAAATTTTTTCCAAAAATTTTCTCAAAACTTGTAAACCAAACAAGTTTTCCAAACAAATCTGTCTCTCACACACATCAAATCAATCATTTTTTCCAAAACTCTCTCTCAAAATAATTTTCCAAAACATCTTTTGAAAAAAACCAAACCAAACAACTTTTCGTACTTTTTATCTTTAAAACACATCTCTCAAACACAAACCAAACATACCCACAGAAATTGACACCAAAGAAGCAACCACCCCACTACTTACCCAATTCCCATCCGAATCACAACATGCAACACTTGTCAGAGGACTTAATTGGAAAATTCCAAGTCAGCATGAAATATAAGAACCATCTCTCATGGAAACAACTCCAATGAGTTGGATGCAGTCATTGCACCGGCATAGGCAAACAAACAGTGGGGGTGCTCAACTCCATCGTCCAGGGGCAAAGAAACTTTGAAACACTGGCCCTCTCGTGGGACACCCAACTTCTAGCCACAAGGGGGTTGTGGTACAGAACCTCTGTTCTGGCAATCATACCGATTATTTACTTGGCAGAATACCAGTTTTGAGCACATTTGGCATCAACAGAGAGGTCAACGTTAAGAATATTCTTGCCATTGAAGGGTTTGGACATGCAATCAACAACTATGGCCTTGGCATCCTCAGCCGACTCTGTTGGTCCTTCAAGGATTACTTCATCATGAACCTGTTCCCAGGAAGAATGTCCTTTCAGCTACCAAACACAGGTTTTAAACCATTAAACAAAGGGGGAATATAAAAAATAAAAAAAAAGTTGAGTTGGAGGCGGAGGTGGAGAAAAGAATTTCAAACTCATGAAAGTAATGAAACTCGTTTGCACAAATCTAGTGAGTTTGAAATTATTTTCTCCACTTATCACTTTTGGATATTAAGGTGGTGTCTTTCTTCATAAAATTTTACCTACAAATGGAAAGAAGTAAATAGATAAATTGAAATGATACCAACAATGTTGGTGCAAGATATTTTAATTACAGTATCACTTGGATATTTGTTCTATCATGTGACTTAAAAATTAATGTGGGTGTTGGTGCATATACAAGAAAACATTTGCAGGTTGATTTTGGCAGGTGGCGGGTGGTTGTGTTTCCTTCTTATTTACTATCATCACTTATTTGGTTTGTGGGTGGAGGATGAACTTGACCTGTAAAAGCAGCCTCCATCCAAGCTCCTTCAAACGTGCATTTTCTGATATTTCTAACATTGCACACATGGCAACATCAGCAGCACTACCCTGTTGCAATTGTATAAATCAAAACCTGTGAGAGAGAGAGAGAGACATTTGAGGAATTGAGATAAAATAACCTGTACAGGTGTGTTGATAGCAGCTCGTTCAATGTGCCCTTTTTGATAGGGAGTAACATTATCCATTGAAGGGAAACAGCGGGCCCGTCCTAGCAATGTGTGAACACATCTGTCCTCCATTGCTCCTCCTTACGCTCTTCTGCCAAACCGCCACTTCTTGTCTCTGACTGTACCAAAGATCAACTGTTTCTCTTGCTTCTTTCACAGAAACCTGAGGGCAGAGATGGAAATTACCATGCCTAAGCAGATTAATTTATTTCAGTTCAAAGAAGAGCCGTTCCTTATTACAGATTTGAGAACACAAGGGTACCTTCCAATCACGGGCAATCCCCACTGGAGTCTTTCCATATGCAATGGAAAAGTTGAGCATCTTTGCTTTCCTTCTTTCAGAAGCAAAAGCATCCTAAAGCAAAATGAAGGTTACATTTTGTATATGAAACACAAAGGAAGAGTATGTGATCATAATTAATGTTTTTAGTAGGCCGCTAAATAAAGCATTAAAGTGTAAGAGCAATATTTGAAATTGTTCAACATAAATCTTCTTAAATTGTAGAAACAATATAAAATCAGCTAAGCAACTCAAACACTAGCCAGAGAAAACTTCTATGCTGTGTTTGGTTTGCCATTGGAATCATTCCAAAGGCAAAATTTTCAAATCACTTTTCAAAATTCATAACCAAACACACAACTCAAAACTCAATTCAAAACATTTTTCAAAACTCAAAACCAAACTTTTTTCAAAACTCAATTTTAAAAGAAAAATTCAAAAAGATATTTTTTTATTTTTTTAAAAAAATTATTTTTAAAATCATAATTTGAGTATGGAGTTGTATTTTGAGTTACGAGTTTTGAATTGAATTTTGAAAAAAGAAAATTTATTTGGTTATGAGCTTTGAAAAAAATTTTGAGTTGTATTTTGAAATTTTTTGGATTTAATTTTTTAAAATATTTAAAAAATTTCTTAATTTAATTTTCTTAGGGTAAATATTTTATATTTTAAATATTTATTTATTTATTTTAATGTGCACTATATTTCATATATTTATGTGCTGTATTTTTTTTAATATTAAAAAAATTATTTTGTTATTTTAAATATATAATTTTTATTTTGGATATTTTTTTATTTTAAATATTTTAATTTGTTTTCTTGATGTGTTGGTTATGATTTAAGTGTAGAGTTTTGAAAGTAGTGTGGAGTTTTGAGTTATATGTTTGGTTATGAATTTTGAGCTATGTGTTTGGTTACGATTTGAGTGTGGAGTTGTGTTTAGAGTTTAAAATATTAAAATTAAAAATTAAAATATTTACGAAATATAATAAAATATTTAAAATAAAAAAATAAAATTTTCTTAAACATTTTTTAATATTTTTAAAAAATATATCCAAAAAATTCAAAATACAACTCAAAAATCAAAAACTCAAAACTCTTTTCAAAACTCAAAAAACTTTTCAAAATTCAAAAGGAAAATATTATAGACTCCAAATAATCTACCAATTTTTTTACCAAACCTCTCACATGAGTGTGGGACCCACACAAACCCACGTGTGTGGGTCCCACACCCATGTAAGAGGTTTAGTAAAAAATTTGGTAGATTATTTGAGATGTCTAGCATCACTCAATTCAAAAACACTTTTCAGAACTCATAACCAAACAAATTTTCTCTTTTCAAAACTCAATTCACAATTCCATACTCAAATCATAACTCTAAAAAGAAAATCACAATTCCAAAACTAAACCAAACGCAATCCTAACAATTTTAATGGACAATAAATCTACATCAATCTAACCAACTAGGCCTAACCTAGTTGGCCACCATGACTCTCCTAAGGGCTTAATCCCAAGATGGAGGTCATGGATTCAACTTTAGGAGGCAAGCACTTGATGCTTTGCAAGGGTGAAGTTAATTCCTATAGATGCTAATCTATATCAATCTAATTCAATCATCAACCTACAAAGCACCTCAATCTGTTTTAATATTATTATTATTATTATTTTAAATAGGATGTTCCCAACTATTTCACTGGAACTCTTCTTTTTTTGTTACAAAAGAACGGCTTATTATGATATTAACCAAACAGCCTATTTTCTGCTATGCTCTTTTTAATCATAGTCTCTGGCATATGGGAAGGGCAAAAAAAAAAATTCAAATTCAAAATCCACTTAACCTGCTGATAACATTGAGCTGCTATTTTTGGAAATTTAATAAATAAACGAAGAGGAAATTTTGATAGTTTACCTTCAAAAGAGGAACTGGAGGCTTATCCTCACCAGGTCGAGGATGCCACTCAAGAAGCACGTGTTTTTGTTCAACAGCTTCACGAATGTGTGGATACATATTCATTGCAGTCCTTGAATGGAAGTCTCCACCAGCTTTGAAGGCATTCAACATACTCTTACAGTTGGCAAGATGTGCAAGGATCCTAAGTTCCAGCTAATTATAAAAATGTATCTTAATCAACAATAAGAATTCATACGGAGAAAATTGCACTCACAAAATCAGATAGAACTGCGTATGAATAGAAAAATAGTTGCACTCAGTTACCTGCCCGTAATCAGCAACAACAAGAGAGTTTCCTGGCGCAGCAATAAATGCCTGGCGGATTTTATAGCGATCTTTCTCTAGAGCAGGCTGATTCTGACTTGCAGAAAAAAGGAATATTAACGTCTTTGAACATTTGTGGTGAAAGACAATGGAAAATGGCTTCCATTGCTGAAACTTAGGTGTACAACTGTAGTATGGCAACAGCTAACAAGCATAAAGAAAATCAGTAGCACAGCAGCCTCACAAAATGCTAAGGATTTTTATACAGCAGATAATTAGCTTCCCAGACATGTTTCGAACCTGCAAATTAGGCCTCCTTGCTGATAAGCGCCCAGTTTCCGTGTTTATATTTAGCGAACAATGGATACGCCCATCCTTGCCTGATATATGACTGCCCTGTAGATGGAAACCAACGTAAATTGTAATCATCTTCTTCTCAAGAATTTGAAATTAAAAAACTCTAACATAAAGAAGTATTAACTAAAACAATGAAACATTGGCAGAAACACCCTTGGGGAGGGGAAGAAATGTCTGTCATCCATGCACATCATTTCATGCAGGAGAAAAGTCATGGTTTATGATACACCGAACCACAGCCAGACAACATATGTGTATATATATAAGCCACATCCAGAATATGAGAAGGGCCAAAGCAAAAAGGAGAGAATCACAGCCAAGACCCAAACAAGAGTGAGCTCATAATTGGGCATAAAACCATACAATATCCAACAATTTTTGCTGAACCATCTGGAAATTCCACAAAAGCACTGTAGACTGGGTTGTCATGATAATTTAATCAGGTTACTTTTATGAATGATCTGCTACACAGAACACTTCAAATAAAAAAAATTTAAAAAAAATCCCACTCTTATCTTCGCGGTCCAATTGAAAAATTGGCTGGACTTAATTATCTAGCAGACTAAATGTCCATCTGATTAATTTTTCAAATTACCATAAGATAATAATATATGCTTGTAAGCTCAAGTAATAAGTTTACTGTTTTTTACAGAATAGATACTTTGAATCAAATAGTTACATGGTTGTGCATAGATAACCAGAAATATGCTCGTAACCTATTCAAAAACTGAAAGCAATATAGAAAACTGGAGCTAACAACAAACTGCAATTCTGATTCATATGTTCTGTTGCATAAATGGTTTGAATCATAAATGAGTAAAAAAAATAGAACCCACAAAAATACATAAGTGTCTGGACATGTCTGGATGTAATGACTAAGGTACAACTATGGGGAGCACAGCATTTAAAAAACACAGAAATTGCAAAGCTACAATTAATGTTTCATGAACATGCACATTATTGAAAGACAAAATTAAGAAAATAGAGTGAATATTACTTATCATGCTTTATGGACAAGACACATTCAAAGCAAAACATCATACACAAGCCTCACTAGTCACCACAATTACATGTTTCTTCAATAGAGACTAGGCCAATAAAAGGCCCAAAAATTTTCTGAAAATAATGGCTTGATGTTTGAACTATAAGCCTACAAAGATGTGTCACATTTCATTAATCAATACAAAACATTTATACAGGGAAAGAAATAGGAAAGGCAACAAGATGGGCTTCGGATGGGGTACCCCCTTCCTCAATCCTCCTTCCCAGGGATGCTAAAAATTCCCCAAATGTGTCCCAGACACAGAAGCAGAATGAGGCAGAGTCAAATAAGATTTTACTCAGGTTGGTAACTTGTCAAGGCTAATATTATTAGATTTCTACCAAATAGGGTGAGGTGGCACAACGAAAGCAGAAGATTTATGAAAACAAGTATAGAACATCTACCATGTTCTAAACTTCTGTAACTTCAATTCAGCCACAAGCCACATAAAAGCCAGATGGCTTGTTATGCTGTACAAGCCACAGCACAAAGAAACCAACATTATCTTTTATAGAGACACTGAAAATGACAGAATTATTTTGAATTCCCAGTACATGCTGCGCGAGGAAGGCAGATTTGATCAAATCTCAACCCATCCTAAAAGCCGACTCAAGTTTTGACACCTGTCCCCACATCCATCCCTACCCCGAATGCAAAGCCCCTCCATAACTGTCCCAATACATGAGACACAGGTTGTGTAATCCAAATATCAGATCAAACTGCCATCCCTCGTTAGAAATTCATGTTGTGTAACCAGTAAATTTTGGCAGCATAATTACCTGCAAGGGGAGTATGAAGTTGGATATCAAAGAGTCTATAGAGCAAACTTCACATAAAGCAGCAATGGCATGGCACGCCTCCTTCCCCTCCTGCCCCTCTCCAAAGGCAGCATAAGCCGTTCCATAAGCAGATTCTCTGCCGTCACTGGCTCTTCCCTTCATCTCTGATGCCTCTGCTCCAGGCAAATTTTCAATACTGTCATCTGACTCCAACTGATCAGCTTCATCTGCAGAATCAAATTCGGCAGAAGCCTTCCCAGCAAGTGTCTTCAAAGCATCTACAGTAATGGAGGGCCAGCCGGTCGCAGTGTACATGTCAGTTTGTATCTCATCACCAAGCTTATGCAGTTTAATTTTGCGAAATTTTGAGGGAATCTTCTTGCCCTCTTCAATCACTTTCTCAAAATTAGGAACTTTAAATTCTCTCTCCTTTGGAAGGCTCTCGTTAGGGTCCTTTCTGCAAAAAGAAAATAAGATAAAAAGTGAACAGATTCCATATACAGCTTCCTTGGGACACTCTTCTTTGCATAGGATGAAAATGCAGATAAGTAGTAATTTTTAAATTGTGCATGAAAATGCAAGGCAGCGCAGAGCAACTTCGTCTTGTACGACTCAAGCACCTTTCCAATCAAATAAGGCAGGCATGTCAAATTTCACAAGAAACATGAATTCTCCTAGCTTGTTCGTCGTTCTCAAACAAGAGTTGAACCAGATTTGTCTATTATGAAACTATAATTCCTGTATTTCTTTCCAGTGACATTTGACTTCAACCCACCCAATGGGGGACTAAACTGGGCGTAAATTTATTAACATTTGACCAAGTGGAAAACACATCATGTTCTTGCTTCCTCCACTTAGCTCTCATGATAATGAAAGGGGTTTTAACAAGTGACAGTAATCATTTGTATTGAAGCAAAACTTCTTTCTGCATTGATTATTTTATTACTCTTTTTTTTCTTTTCTTTTTTTATCATAAACAAGGATTCTGGGCCTCTTAGAGCACCATAGACCTTGTGAATATGCAGCCTTAACATAAGTAATAAGTGGGATGAATCCCTGGGATGGCCCCAAGGGCTTCTTGACTAAAGACTTGTTTTACTTGAGGTGAGATCCTTTGCTTTCTCATCTACCAGTTATGAGTTTGATTATTGATTTTCATGTCACAAACTCACTGATGCTGGAGTAAGCAAGACCATTAAGTCATAATATGTCAAGTATTTTGTGCAGTGAACTACAATCTAGAGTACAAAAAATGTGTGACCAACAGGGCCAAAGCTACAGAATGCCTGCTAACCAGTGAAGTTCAAAATTAGTTAGCTCATAAACAACTTTTCGCACCCATATACCAGAAGAGTATGGCCCTTCATAGAGTAAAATGGAAAAATAAGATTTATCTGTCCCAAAAAGTTTAGGCTCCAGATAAACATAAAATATTAAAATATCATACCTGTTTACAGTTCCACCAAAAAAGAGCTGGCGCAACTGTGCATCACTTCCCACATTCATGAATTTAGCATCAGGGCAATACTTCGATGCCCAGTTACGAAATCTAGTAGCAGCAACCTGCTGCTCCGCTCTAGCTACTTTCTCTATCTCAGCAAGATAGTCTCGATCAACCAGCATCCCTTCAGTTTCCATTTTCACAAGAAGCTCACCAAAAGGTTGCCAGTATTTCTCATAAAACTCAAGCATTGTTCCTTCAGTATGTCCATCAATTTTCCATTCCATCACTGATAGTTTACTTTTCAAGCTCTCATAGAGTTTTAGTGTGCTTATTGAATCTAAGGCAGAATAACTAATCCATAATTTTCGCTCCTCTCTTTGAAGGTCTTCAACAGGCGGAATGTTGATAATTTTTCCCTCAGATCCATCTTTCTTCAACTTTCCCCTGCCAAAAATGGTTTTCATTGATACTTTACCAATCAAGGTTGCATCACGGCACACCTTTGGATCACCTGTAAGTGCTTCTAGAGAATACCCACCCTCTGTTCGTCTTGAAGAATCCCACAATCGAGCCATGTGCATTGTATCAGCATGAAAACCAGAAACTTTGAACCCATAGTTCTCTAGAACATGATTATCAAAGCTATAGTTGTGCCAAACCTATAGAAAAGACAGAGCACCTCACCATTTCTTGTTATACAAAGGGAAGAACACCCTTGTTCTAATGTCAAATCATTAGAAAAACTATGCTAGATGATACAGCTAACTTTCTTTAAGACAACATTCAAAATTAGACCAGTTTTTACCAAGAAATGATGATAACCTACAAATTCACCAGTCCTGATCACTAAGGGAAATTTTACCTTTTTAATGGATGGGTCTTCAAAAAATGGAGCAAATTCAGCCAAAATACTCTTGCCACCCCCAGCAAGAACATCAACCCAGATACAAGACTTGCCATTACAAAAATTTGCATCTGGTCCGGAATAAATACTGAAGCATATTATTTCTCCATGATCAACAGGTGTTTCCTGCTTCACATCAATCTTGGACACCTGTATGTAACCAGGATGAGGCCATAATAAGCTCACAAGTTTGCAAACGCGTGTGAATCAAAATAGTAGCATTTAAGTACAATGCATGCCTCCATTTTGCATGCACAAGAAAATAAATCAAGGAACATATAAATGTAACTAAAGTATGAGGCATGCCTCTGTATCACATGCATAAACACAATGCCTGTATTGGTTTGTAAGCATCTTGACAGTTTCCCTTGCCATGTTGATATTATCAATGAGAAGAACCTTGTCATAAACGCGAGCAAGCCTCTGACGAAGATGGAACTGGTGAAAACGTTGTAATTCTCCAGTGGAGCAGTCATTAAATGGCTTGGAACTTATTTCCTCCATTTCCCTTGAGAGTTTCCCTGACAATGACCCATTAGGCTCGATGCTGTTAGATTGACCAGTGTTCTTTGAATGCTGTTCCAGGGATGTTTTGGTAGCATTGCTGTTTGAAGTTGGAGGACATGAAACAGGATCAATTTTAATCAAGACAGGTTCCAAGCTTGGGTTTCCTTTGTTCTTCACAAAATATTCACGGTCCAGTGTATGTGTTTGCATATCCATGTAACATTGGCCAAATGGGCTTCCTAAAATTCTTTCTTTGCTGGTATTGTTAAAAGAATCTGTACAACATTTTGAATCTGCATATACACTGCTATCTTGCTCATCTGTGAGATCATATTGCACACTATTTGCAGCAGTTTCTGCACATGGAATGCTATAACTCATGAAACTACTCTGGCTATTCCCAGAAGCTGCTACTTTACTGTTCCTTAGTTCATCTTTTTCTCTTTTCCAGGCCATTTCAGCAAAATTTGAAGCACTGTCTATTCGAAAATCTTTTTGAATTTGTTTCTTTTCCACCTCCATAAATCGTGGGCTACCAGAGATGAGCTTTCCTTGATAATTAATCTGAGATGGGAGATGAGGAACCATACGAGCAAATGAAGTGCAAGGATTCCTTGCCTCCATACGAACTTCAAGCTTCCAAGTGTTGTCTGTCCTATAATAATGTCTGCAGTTTTCACTAAATGACATGATATTACAACTTGAATTTCGTTTAACATGAGGGAAACTACTAAAACCAATCACATTAGAAAATGAACCATTGCCACTGTGGAGTCTGCATTTGCCTTCCCTGTAATTTAAAACAACGAAGAAAGATAAATTGTTTTTTATTGGGTTGGTTGGGGCGGCAGGGCCCCCTAGTAAGATTCATTTTAAACAAACACAAAACAACTACAAGCATCTTAACCAACACAGAGAACACAATAGCTTCCACTACTCGTGCATTCCACAATAAATTGTATAAAACTTAGATGAAAGAGAAGCCTTATCTTAGAAACTTAGTTTGCCAATGTCTAGTCATAAAACATATTTCTCCAATCCTAAGAATGGCCAAATTTGCCAATGTCTCAGTTTTGCAAGAAATCATACAACCATGATGATTGGCTACTCAGCCCAGCCACTGCCACTGCCACATAATTCTGTATGTTTCACCATTTTCAATTCTCAAACTACATGCCAAATGAACTTGCCGATTTTTCAAAGGAAAAGCAACAAAACCTTGGGGTTTTGTCCTAGGCCCAAAAACCCATACACAAAATATGAAAGGGTATGTGAAAAATCGAAAAAACCACACATTATTGCAGTGCATAAACTACAAAAACCACAAAATAAACAAGAAAAAGGTTAAAGATTGAGACTTGAGAGAGAGAGAGCGAGAGAGAGAAATTGAAAACGAACCTGCGAAGGGCTTTTCTGGAGGAAGCCCAAAAGGAGCGAGAAGAGTGACGAGGCATGGCAGAAGAGCGAGGTCTTGAAGTAGATTGCCAGAAAAGAGGAGGGCGAGAGGGTTTAGACTTGCAAGGACAGGTTTGAGAAGGAAGACCCATAGCCATGGCCTCTGAGACAGCTCGTCCCAGCTTACAGCCAGGGTTACCGATACAAGAAGGAGCCGTTTTGATACGCTAAATACGAGGCTTTTTGTCTCAAACTGGTGGAGCTGAGCTGAGCTGAGCTGAGTGGGAAGCAAAGGAGGGAGGGGGATTGTAGAGAGAGAGAGAGAGAGAGAGAGCAGAAGTTTTAAGGTCAAACCCTTGTCTTTGAATAAAACAAAACAAAACAAAACCCCAATATCGCGGCAAATAGGTCTCTGTTTATTTTGTTTGGCTAAATTCCAAACAAACACGCTCAAACATTTACTTAGCAAAAATTATTTTAATAATTTTTAAAAATTTTATAAATAAATGTATAGAAAATAAAAAATAAATACGATAATTTATAATAACTTTTTAATTAAAATTGAAAGTTGTCAAAGAATATTTTAAAATACAAATTATTCTTTATAATTTTGAAAATTGTATTTTATTCTTTTAAATTTTTAATCATATAATAAATGACATTTTTTATTCATAAATCATTAAGTCAAATAATAATTTTTAATGATATTAGAAAGAGTAAATATATGTGTGCAAAAACTACATGTGGAACCCACCCTTTATGAAAGGATTATGTCCCATTTTGTGTTTGGTTTATATGTTTCTACCATTTTGTATTATTAGAAATATATCTCAATTAACAATTCAAATAATTTTATTATTGTAAGGAAGAGTAGTTAAGAATTTTATTTATTATGTTAATTTTATTAAATTAAAAATTTGATAATAAAATATTTATAATTTTATATGAAGTAATTTGTATTTTAAATTAAATCTTAAGGGTATTTTATTTCATTTTTAATTTTTTATATGAAAAAAGATTAAGAGCTCTAAATTAATAGCTCTAATTGGTATGTGGGTCCCATATGTTATGATGTTTTGGCCTCTTTTTTTTTTCCACATCATTAGTGCTTTTTTAGAGCTCTCAAATTAGAGAAATGTATCATTTCTATTTTTAATGTTAATTTATCTTATTTGAGATGGTCTAAATAAGTATCCTTTTTGACATTTTATAAAAAGATACATAAAAAAAATAAAGAAATAATATGACCTAAATAAATGACACTTATATCCATTAGGTGATACAATTCAACGAATTTTAATTTCTCTTCGTAAACCAATTTTAAGTCAGTCACCATCCCATCTCAGTCGTTGACATCGCCCTTCGCCAACACATTTCATTTTGCTTTTTCCCGCCTATAACCTTCTCTTCGTCACCCATCATTGTTGTCTCATTCCCCATCACAACTTTCTCTTTGTCACACCTTTACAACCTCATTCATATTGGAACAAAGGGTCTTGAATTCTTCAAATGGTGGTCTTCGAGTCTTCAAAATTTGGCAATGAGCTTGTCTATATAGAACAAAAAATTAGTGCTTCAGTCGCGTTACTAAGTCGCTTTTCTAAAGACAATATTTATACCCACCAAAAGGTGTGCAGGGGATTACAACAAATTTGCCTCCAAGATACAATGAAGCCTGATCTAAATATCTAGTCTATCGGTGTTTGCACTGACGACAATAGATCAGAACACTCTTGATATAATCAAGAAACCAAGACACTGATAATCAAATTTAGAGAACTTGATTATCAATAAGAAAAACAGAAATTTGTTTAAGAAACTCTTGATCGAAAATTCAAAATCAATATGGAGAGAGAAAGAGAGAGAATTGCAGGAATACTTTTCAGGATTTTGGATGGAATGAAATAGCTGATTTCGTAACCTATTTATAGGCCTTAGACTAAGTTTAAGAAGAAGAATATGGGGTTTTTTTGATTATTTTAGCCACAAAAGACAAAATAGGCTATTTTAGCTACAAAAAACAAAACATCACACCCAACCCATAATCATTACACTCTTCTCTCACAAAAAAAAGTCAAAAAAGCCAAAAAGCCAAAAAATCATTCCCAAACTAAACTTTTTAGCCCAGGCTAAAATAGCCAAAAAAACCAAAAAGCCAAAAAACCAACCCGCTTTCCAAACCAACCCTTAATGGATCTGATCGAATGGTCATGTCCCTTGATCGCATCCGATCAGATCTGACCGTTGGATCAACAATCTATGGTGCAGATCATTCTAACACCGAATAGATGCCTTGACTAATCACACTTGATCACGATCGGGGGCCATTTCATCTGTACGATCGCGAGCATCTCCAATCAACGGCTATGATCAACCCGCTCCAGATCGGACACATAACCGTTTGATCAGTTGGTTGACTCATCGCCAATGGATGACATGTCACTACCAGGTGGAGCTAACTGTATTCCCCGTCACCCATGCTACGTTGGATCCACGTCATCGCTCAAACCTGTCCGATGCAAATAGGAAAGCGCCCTCATGGCGCCTTGTGCCGATGCGTCCGTGCTAAGTGCAAAGTGCATCATCAAACGCCACACAACCCACTACCCACGCCACGCGCGGGCGCGCGCGTGTGCGAATGGTGCCCATCCTTGCAGTGTGGGTGCATGCACACTAGCTTTCATCCCATAATTCCATATTCAAAAGAATATTCCACGTAGCACTTTATTAAGTGCTCCATGTTTTGCTATCTTTCCAATGTGGGACAAAGTCCCTAAGCTTAATTAATGCTTTCCAAAGAAAAACAAAGAAGGTTTTGAAAACACCCAAAAATTAAACTATAAATTTTAAAAACCATTTTGAAAATTCCCCAACATTCCCCCACCATTTTCAAAATACCAGATGAAGACCCTTGGTTCACTTGGCAGCCTTATGCATAGGTGAAGATATCTTACGATTTGAATCATTCACTTAGTGAAAACATCTCAAAGTTAGTCAAGATAGCATAGTAGACTTGTCTTTGAACTAGCGATCTTATACGACTAATCGGACATGTATCACGCATAGTACAGGTTACCTCAAGTATTCAAACAAACCAACACGTGGATTGGCCTTGTGTCTATATCCTGTTTCATGAGTGCTCTAGAGTCAAGCCCTTGGACTCATAGGAAGAGGCACCACCTCCTACACTCACATAGGTAAGCTTACTGAGAGTACCCTTGTAATTTACAGCACCCTAGCAACCCAATTGTAAGCTTATTAAGAGTTTGCTAACTCATCATTTTCTTTTAACATTACAGGTACCAAGCACTTCAACCTTGGAATCAAAATGAAATAAACTAAGTGCTTGCAATCACGACGTATAGTGTACTTGGGCTCATTGAACTCAAGACTTGATGTTTCTTCAAGCATTGAGTCGAGTTTCTACCAGGAGTGATTATGTTAAGTGGGCTTGAGACCCATCCCCTTTGATGTTTTCCACACTAAATCCCTTGTAAGTCCCTTTGTTAAGGGGTCAACCAAGTTTTCACTTGACTTTACATAACTAATAGTAATCACACCTTCTGTGATTAACTACCTAACACAGCTATGTCTCAGTCCTATATGCCTGGACTTTCCATTATAGACATGGTTATAGGCCCGTGATAGAGTTGTTTCACTATCACAATGCAAAGATATTAGTGGATAGGTTTTGGCCATATCTTAATCTCTAATAAGAGATTCTTTAGCCACTTTGCCTCTTTGCTACAAGAAGCCAATGCTACAAACTCTGACGCCATGGTTGAGTCTGTTATGCATGTTTGCTTCATAGAACCCTAGGAGATAGCTCCTCCTCCAAGAGTAAAAATTCAATCACTCGTGGGCGAGTGATCTTTACGGTCAATTATCCAACTAACAACCGTGAATCCTTCCAGCACTGCTGGATAGCCATTATAGACTATTCCATAGTCTATTGTTTTCCTCAAGTACCTAAGTACTCGGTTAACACGATGACAATGCACACTACTGGGATTACTAGTGTATCTACTAAGTTTTCTTGCTACAAAAACAATATCAGGTCTAGTGCAAGTCGTGGCATACATCCGGCTACCTATTACTCTTGGATATTCTAGCTGATCAACAGCTCTTCCAGTATTAGAATACAATTTCAAATTTGAATCAAAAGGTGTAGACATGGGTGTACAATTATATTGATTAAATTTCTTAAGAATTTCCTCAATATAGTGCAACTGGGTTAGAATCAAATTATTGTCCTCTCGTTTGATCTTAATACCCAAAATTACATTAACCAACCCCATGTCTTTCATACTAAAGCTAAACGACAAGAAACTTTTAGTACTTTCAATGACATCATTATCAGTACAAAAAATAAGCATGTCATCTACATACAGACATATGATTACACCTCTATTTCCAGTAAACTTACTGTACACACACTTATCAGATTCATGTATCCTAAAACCATTTGACACTATTACTTTGTCAAATTTCTCATGCCACTGTTTTGGAGTTTGTTTCAGTCCATATAGTGACTTCATGAGTTTACACACTTTGTGCTCTTGACCCTGTATAACAAATCCTTCCGGTTGTTGCATGTAGATTTCCTCATCTAACTCTCCATTTAGAAAAGCGGTCTTAACATCCATTTGATGGATTTCAAGCTTATAGATTGAGGCTAAGGCAATCAACACTCGAATGGTGGCGATTCTAGCTACCGGAGCATATGTATCAAAATAATCGATACCCTCATTTTGAGTAAAACCCTTAGCAACTAATCTTGCTTTGAACTTGTCAATTGTGCCATCAACTTTCATTTCCCTTTTGAAAATCCATTTATAACCAATGGGTTTGGATCCAGGTGACAAATCAACAAGTATCCATGTATTGTTACCCATGATAGAATCTATCTCATCGTTTATTACTTCTTTCCAGAATGCAACATGTTAAGACTTCATTGCTTCCTTAAAGGTTAATGGATTTGAATCCATATTCAAAGAAATCATTGTTTGCTTATAATAAGCTTTTCTAGTTCCTTCTACAAGGTAAACAATGAAATCAAGGTCAAATGACTTCTCAGTCCTAGCCCTCTTATTCCTCCTTAGCTCAATAGGCTTATTAGGTTTATTAGGCTCAATAGGTTCATGTCGTTCACTATCCTCTATAGACATCAAAGGAGTTGATTCATTTCCTTGATTAGAATCCAACCTTGGAATGGTTGTGAAACGATTCTCATAAAATACCTCATCACGTGATTCAATGATGGTATTTGTTTCTACTAAACCATTGGGCTCTACTGCCAGAAACCTATATGTTTTACTATGTATAGCATAGCCAAGGAATATGCATTCAATTCATTTTTCACATAGTTTCTTCATTTTAGGTTCAGACAATCTAACTATTGCTCTATAGCCCTATGTTTTCAAGTAACCAAGATTAGGTTTCTTGTTTTTCCAAAGTTCATAAGGAGTAATATTTCTTCCCTTGAGAGGAATTCTGTTAAGTATGTGACAAGCAGTGAGTAAGGCTTCATCCCAAAAACCAAAACTTAAACTGGAGTAAGAAAGCATAGCATTAATCATTTCTATTAATGTCCTATTTTTTCTTTCAGCTACTCCATTTTGTTGTGGTGTGTAGGGTGCAGACTTCTCATGAATAATACCAACATTTTCACAATATTTTTTGAAAATTTGTATTCATCACCTCTATCAAACTTAAGTCTCTTTATTTTGACATTACTCTGATTTTCTACTTCTGTCTTAAAAATCTTGAATTTATCAAGCACCTCATCTTTTGAATGCAAAAGATAGATATGACAGTACTTAGAAAAATCATCAATAAATGTTACAAAATATTTCTTACCACCTCTAGTGGGGGTACTATACATGTCACATACATCACTATGCACAAGTTCAAGCAAAGACGTGATTTTATCTATTTTAGGAAATGGAACGCGAGTAATTTTAGATCGTACACAAATTTTGCATTTTCCAAACATATCAATATTATACTTAGGAATTAAATCTAAATTAACCATATTATGCATTTTCCTAGTATTAACATGACCTAAACGAGCATGCCATAAAGAAAGAGAATCAACAATATAAGCAGAAATAGATGTATTATTGATTAAGTTTGAACATTCCTTGATACATGTAGCCCTTCCCAACAAAAATCCCACCCTTACACAAGACAAATTTGTCCGACTTAAATACTAACTTGAAACCATGCTTCTTAAGTAGGCTTCTAGATACAAGGTTTTTCTTAACATCAGGTATATGATAAACATCATTAAGACTTAGGACTTTTCCAGATGTAAACTCTAGATCTACCGTCCCTTTGCCTTTGATAGCAGCAGTTAAAGAGTTACCTATGTAGAGAACTGTTCCATTACTCACTTGTTCATAAGTAGTGAAATGACTCTTATTGTTGCTGACACGCCTTGTTGCTCCTGAGTCAATCCACCAATCACCAGCATCTTCGAGCATGTTCACCTTGAATACAACAACCACGAACTTGTTTTTGGCATTTGATGCTTTTGGCTTCTTCTTGTATGATCGACATTCATTTCTGAAGTGCCCTGGCTTGCCACAATGCCAGCAAGCGCCTTTCGGCTTCTTAGCATTTTTCTCGGATTAGGGTTTATGCTTACGCTTTGTTTTTTTGAATCTCTTACCATCATCTACCATGTGGATCTTAGACGTCTGAACCAATTGGTTATCTTTACTTTCAAGTAACCTTGACTCTTCCTCAACTCGAAGGTGTTGAGCCAATTCCTCTAAAGTAAGATCTTCCTTTTTTGTGTTTCAGAGTTTTCTTAAAATCCTTCTAAGAAGATGGTAATTTCTCTATTATAGATAAAACTACAATATATTCATCTATGTTTATATTCTTTTGTCGAAATTGACTCAGAATATGTTGGATCTCATGGAATTGTTCCATAATGGGCTTTGTATCACTCATTGTAAAATGCATAAAATTACTAACAAGAAATTTCTTACTGGTGGCATCCTCAATAAGGTACTTTGACTGTAATAAGTCCTAGAGTTGCTTTGTCGTTTTCTAGATGTTGATACACATCGAATAGAGAGTTTGACAGTGCATTCAGAATGTGTCCTCGGCAAATATAGTCGTCATTCTCCCATTTGGTTCTGGCACGGGTTTGCTCCACAGTCTCGTCTTTTTGCTCCGTCGGATAAGGGGTAGTTAGCACATAGACCACTTTGAGAGTGGTGAGCAAAAAATGCATCTTCTTTTGCTAGCGTCAAAAATTTCCTTCATCAAAACGATCAAGCTTCATGAAATCTTGAGTCATTTTCTTAATAGATATCGCCATATCCAAATATTGTCTTTAGATTGTTAGAACAAAGGGTCTTGAATTCTTCAAATGGTGGTCTTCGAGTTTTCAAAATTTGGCAATGACCTTGTCTATATAAAACATAAAATTAGTGCTTCAAGTCGCGTTACTAAGTTGCTTTCCTAAAGACAATATTTGTACCCACCAAAAGGTGTGCAGGGGGTTACAACAAATTTGCCTCAGGATACAATGAAGCCTGATCTAAAGATCTAGTCTATCGGCGTCTGCACTGACGACAATAGATCAGAATACTCTTCATATAAGCAAGAAATCAAGATACTGATAATCAAATCTGCAGAACTTGATTATTAATAAGAAAAACGTAAATTTGCTTAAGAAACTCTTGATCGAAAATTCAAAATCAAGAGGGAGAGAGAGAATTGCAGGAATGATGCTTTTCAGGATTTTGGACGGAATGAAATGGTTAATTTCGTAGCCTATTTATAGGCCTTAATGGATTTGATCGAATGATCATGTCCCTTGATCGCATCCGATCAGATTTGACCGTTGGATCGACAATCTATAGTGCAGATCATTCTAACACCAAATAGATGCCTTGACTAATCACACCTGATCACGATTGGGTGCCATCTCATCCGTACGATCGCGGGCATCTCCAATCAACAGCTATGATTAACCCACTCCAGATCGGACACATAACCGTTTGATCGGTTGGTTGACTCATCGCCAACGTGCTAAGTGCAAAGTGCGCCATCAAACGCCACACGCGCGCGTGTGCGGATGGTACAAAACACCATCCTTGCGGTGTGGGTGCATGCACGCTAGCTTTCATCCCATAATTCATTATTCAAAAGAATATTTCATGTAGCACTTTATTAAGTGCTCCATGTTTTGCTCTCTTTCCAATGTGGGACAAAGTCCCCAAGCTTAATTAATACTTTCCAAAGAAAAACAAGGAAAGTTTTGAAAACACCCAAAAATTAAACTATAAATTTTAAAAACCATTTTGAAAATTTCCCAACAATCCATTCCATCACGATCCATCCCTACCTCCTCCACTGTGCGCGAGAGAGAGAGAGAGAGAGAGAATGAGAATCTTTGGTTTTTTTATTTGGACCAAGACGAAGACTTCGCAATGGGAGTTCGTTGTTGGTTAAAGGGAAGTCAGAGTAGAGACTTGCTAGTGAGAGAGGGGTTCGCCAATGAGAGAATGAGGTTGAGAGGGATCCTCGGGAGAGGATATAGCGACAATGGTGGTTGAGTGTGGGTGTAGGTGTGGTGGTTGAATGTGGCGGTGGAAGATGGTCGTTGGGTGTAAAGATGAGGGAAAGTTTAATATTATTGTGAGTGCAATAAAAGAAAATTAAAATTTCAAAATTTTACATATAGAAAGTGTAATTAGAAAAAGGTGTGCGACAAATTTGTGTTGCAACTCTAATTACCCTTCTCCTCTATAATTTTAAAACATTATTTTTCATCCTAATCGAGGCCAACAAGCTGGGAAAATAACACAATTGTCATTCGGAGTAGAGAGCCTACACAGTACATTTTGCACTGAATTTTACTTCAAATTTTAATTAACAGTAATGCTAGGTATCATGAAAAACCTTTCATGAAAATAATCATGAAAGTTTCGTGACCCTTGGATTACACTTAGAATAAAGCACCACACACTAATCAAGGTAATCCAAGGGTCATAAATTTTTCATGATCATTTTCATGACAAAATTTTCATGATCCCTAACTTTTCCCTTTAATTAAAACAGTCATATTGTCCATATTTTAAACCAAGTTACGTGTACCCTTCTATCAATCTAACATTAACAAATTTTCATGAGCAAGCAACATGACACACCATGGATGGAATGCATTAAAATAGCTTTATTGCAAATGAACATTACAAAACTCAAAAAAACCTCTTCACATATGATGGGGTAAGCTTTCATTTTGGATAATGCCAAGATTATCAAGAACTTGTCCTACTCTCTTACCCTCACAATTAACATTATATATATATATATATAGAAGTGAAAAAATTACCATACACGCCTCATGCTGGACCAAAAAGCTCCCCTAATCTTCGTCCCTTCTTTCTTCAAAATTTGGATCTCTGAATCCACAAGAATCCATAAGATCTCATAAAAAAACCAACTAAGAAAAAGAGAGAGAGTGAAAAAAGAGAGTTAAAACAACAGGGAGTTTGGTGTCGCAATCACAGTCGATACAGCTTCTTTAGCACCTTCTCATCAGTCTCTTTCCCAAGCACCACTTGGCGCGTCTTTTTCGATTTCTAGAACTATGTTTCTACCAGAAGGAGCTAGTTTCATCTTCTCTTCTGCTCCTTCGTCATCTGCCTCTACTGTCTTTCCTGTTGATAAGAACTCAAGAGCAGTTACAACATCACTGATCAAAGGTCGAGCACTAGCTTCCTCTTGGAGACACATTGCCGCTATTGCAAGAGCCTGGTACAGACCCTTTGTAGGGTAGTTGCCTTCTAGCTTTGGATCGGCCATTAATGTAAACATGCTTTTATCTTTGAAGAGAGGTTGTGCCTACAAAACAGTAACATACATGACTAAATTACCAAGCCAGGCCACACAACTTATCAAAAGGTTTGACTTTGAAATCCTACAGTTAAATTCTTTGAAGTTCTCACCTTGCATTGTTTAGTATGGAATGAGCCACCCCATGAAACACCCGCCTGTTACACTCCAGCCAAATCAGCCATAGTAAACAGTGCAAGGCAAGAATCCAGATGTGTTGGCTTTTACAGATTTGTGGAGAATTTAATTTGTTAGTTTCGTTGGGCTCTTGAGGCCGTCTTTGTATTCTTTGCATCTTCTTGATGCTTTTTAATAAAGTTTGGTTATTTATCAAAAAAAAAAAAAAAAAATTCTTTGAAGTTCTCAGTTCAGTATTAGTTTTCAAGTCCAACAGCTTTTAAGACCCACATATTATTTTTTAACCCAATAGGTCACATTGGCCATGTCCAGGATTACAGTAAGTGCTGTTTTTAAATTTAAATTTAAATTTTTTTTCCAGATTGTTTTGGCCCCTTAATGGAGCTCACATTCAGCACCTCATCGTGATAGTGTGCTGAGCTGTTAAGTTAGTTTTTTTTTGTTTTTTATTTTATTTTAAATGTTTTCACTTTCATTATATACATTCGTTTTTAATAAAATTTGTATTTTTTTTTTTTGAATTTACTCATGGTGAACTATAAAACAAGGTCAACATTCGATATGAACTTACATTTAAAAAAACAACTGAGAAATGTTGCCATTTTTGTGTTGCGAGTATCTGAGAAATTTGTAATTACTGTGCAGAAACTGTGAAATTTCACTTTTTTATACATGAACTTTTTTTGGAAACTGAGAATCTTATTATGATAATCCCATATTGAAATGCAGGTGTTTTTTGTTTTAAAACATACCCAAATAACTAGATTCTGCTCTTCATTTGGTTTTGAATTGTCGATGACTCTCCTTCCTGTGATTATCTCCAGAAACACGACTCCAAAGCTATACACATCGGACTTTGTTGTTAATTGACCTGTCAACGCATATTCGGGTGCACAGTAGCCATAAGTTCCCATCACCCGTGTAGATACATGTGTCATACCATCGGTTGGACCGAGCTTGGCTAGCCCAAAATCAGAAAGCTTTGGATTGAATTCCTCGTCTAATAGTATGTTAGATGCTTTGAAATCCCTGTAAATCACTGGAGGGTTAGCTGTTTCATGCAAGTATTCAAGTCCTGTAGCTGCACCTTCTGCAATTTTCATTCTAGTGATCCAATCCAAAGGCTCCTTGGTAGGAGCTAAGTCTGAAAAAAAGGGGGGCAGATTTAAAATGTTAAAAGAAAACAAAAATCAAGTCATTGCTGTTAAATTCATCTAATTCGAAATGGTTGCAATTCACTGATCACAAATTTTTAAACAGTGACATGTAATGCACAAACATTTATTTATTCAGGTATTAACACTCCATTTGTTTCGGAGGAAAATGTTTTCTATGATTTTTTTATGCTTGGCTGTGCCTTTGAAACTAACGTGCTAGTTGTGTATTAATGGTGGTTTTTAGTGGTGGAAGTGGTGGTAGGTGGTCAAGGTAGTGAGGGTGATAGTGGTGGGTTGGTGGTGGTAGTGTGGTGGCAATGGCATTGGTAAGACTTTAGTTCGGAAAATGTTTTTCCCCTTTGAAAAATATGTAACATTTCTCAAATAAATTTGTTTTTCGTTTTTTTTTTCCCCTTTGATTTTCATTTTTTGTCATACCGAGTGTCAGAAAATGTAAAATATACATTTCTAAAAAATATTTTCTGTCAAAACAAATAGAGGTAGAACTGAAAATCATAAGTAGAATTGGGCATACCAAGAAGATGATCCTCTAGAGAACCCTTGGCCATGTACTCATAGACTAATATCCTCTGATCGCCATCACAACAATAACCAACCAAATTGACAAGATTAGGGTGGTGAAGAAGGCTCAATATCAACACTTCCACAAGGAATTCTCTGTTTCCTTGGAATCCATTTCGGTCAAGCTGCTTAACAGCAACATCCTGAGTAACATGATCATTAACATGGATTTTAGAACACATATTTCTAAACAATTTTTCAATGTGTTTTCAATAATTCAATGTGTTGTGTGTGTGTGTGTGTGTGTGTGTGTGAGAGAGAGAGAGAGAGAGAGAGAGAGAGAGAGTACTTGATTTATGTTTTCAATGCGGCCTTTGTAAACCTGGCCAAAACCTCCTTCGCCTATCAAGGATTCAGGGTTGAAGTTTTGAGTTGCGACATTCAGGTCGTTGAATGTGAAAATTTGAGCAGAAATACTCCCTTTTCCGACTTTTGCTATCTCTTCAGCAATGTACCTCCGCTTGCTGCTATCTGTGTGTTAAAACATGTTCAAATTTCTACTGGGAAACAAGGATTTGGACAAAAGCAAATATTATTTTGGTTATATCAAATCTCTATTGATTATTTTAGTTGAAAGATTCGAATATTTGAAACATATGCACACTTACCTTAATGAAAATAAGGACAAAGATACAATATAACATAACAATACAGAAAAGTACAGAAAAACTTGAAATGCATTCAAGTCTCGATGAAAAATAAGGCTGAATGGTACAAAGAGTGGAAAGTTAAAGAAAGAATATTTTTATGAAACTACCATTCTGTTACAGAGAATTGGGTATAAATAATAAAAGTTGGAAGGATATGAGGGACAGATTGATATCATAGTGACCGAGCCTAATTAAGTCCATATTCTATGATCATCTAAATTACAAATTAAAAATCTTCAACACCAAGGAGAGAAGTTGGAGAGTTAAATTGAATGGTGGCCTCGTCAGAACATAGAAAACTAACCGGATTTGAAGGAGATGTTAGAGAATGAGGCCAAAGCCTTCGTGTCTTCATATTCACGAGTACTTTTCTTCAATGATCTCTGACTTTCTGTCTGACAACACGAAAAGCAGCTTAGCCTCATTGGTCCCTTATCGCTTATAAATCCAACAATACCCAAATTCCAAAACTGTCAAAATGTTGAATCAAACTGAGATGAATTCACTGCTGTCCATAAAAGCATGTGATTCGATTCATTCCTCAGCACAAACAAGAGGTACCTGGTTTAAGGGCAGGTTTTTGAAATCGGAGATTTCAATCAGCTCAGAAATCAAAAACCTTAGCCCCAGGAAAAACCAGCCTGTTCTGGTCTCCCTGGAAACTAAGGAAAATTTCTGCAGCTTTACTCTTCCTTCATGACCCCCCTCATCCCTTTGTGCCCGGCCACATATATGACATAGTCAAATTTGCTAATTTCAGCAATAAGTAGTTAACCTCTTCCTCATTTTTAAAAGTTAGTTGAGCTAGGGAGACTACCATTAACGGGAAATAAGGAATATTTTTCTGTCCATTCCTTTTCTTTTCTTTTCTTTTCTTTTCTTTTCCTTCTCCAATTCTACCCTCCTATGCTATTCTTAGCCACCCCAAATCTTTTCATGGTGATGGATCAGATGGGCAAGAATTCTTCATAACTAAGGGCTTAAAACCCGAATTTGTGGTCCATACATTTTGCAATTTCAAGATTCACTCTAATTAAATAACCAACAGAGATTGGAAATTTCAATCAAATGCCTCGTGAAAAAAAAAAATTCATAACAAATCAAAACCTAATGCAACCATTTCATCCAGTAATTTTTAAGCAAGCTTGAGGCCCAATTTTGCTTCTTTGAACCTCTTGCTCTCGTGAGAGGAATAGAAACAAATCAAATCAAATATACAAACAGAAGAGAAATCAAATCCACAATGCAAAATAAAAATTTATAGAGCTTGAAATTCTCAACTCAACTACTCTATATATGTGACACTCACACACTGAAACCCTAAACCCTAGTCAGAAAATACAACAAATACCATTCTCTGATCAGCTACCCGGGGTCGACTACGAATTTTAACAAAATTGAGAGGCCTTTGTTAATTTTAACTCTTATAGGTATAAAAATAAAAATCCGGTGTAATTAATCTAAGTTCACAATTAATAATATAAAAAAAAAAGTAATATTTATTTAGTACTTTGTTGTAATTGATTCAATTTTTGTTTGACATTATTTCAATTAATATTTTTTCTTTGTAATTGTTTTATTAAATGATTTTTTAATTGTAAATTAGATTTTGTTAATTTATAAAACAAGACCTCTTCTTTTTTTTTTTTTATGTAGATAGAACGTCTAAATAGTAGTGAATTAAAAACCCGAGTTTCTCTCCGGTGTAAATTTGAAGTTGAGAGAACTAGAGAGGCTCATCATAAATCTTGTTTTAATAATTTAAATCGTTAATTTTGTGGAATCCTCCTTCTGACTATATCATTTATAAAAAATAAAAATAAAAATTATTATAAATCAATTTGATAATTATAACTTTTTTTCAAATATCTAACTTTCGTATCACCACGTGATGGTATTTAATGAGTGAAGAATCTTATATTAAATGGTGGGTTAATGTTGAAAATAACATTTATAGTATTTTATTGACAAGGGACACCATAAAAGGAAGGAACAAGATGAGAAATAATAGGAATGTATTCTCTCTCATTTTTTCATTTTGTCCCTCTTTGGTCTGTTTTCCCACTCGAAAAACTTTCCTGTAACCCACACTGTAAATCCTGCAGCCCTCAAGTAGGTGCCAGACTACGGAGCCAAAAATGGTAACCCAAAAAGAGCTCTCTCTCTCTCTCTCTCTCTCTCTCATGCTGCTTTCATTATAAACACAATTAAACACAGGGCAGAGCAGTTCTATCAGAAGAAGACACATTGAGAGATAATGCACATTATTTTCTGCACCAGACACCAATGCTGTTCTGCAAATGAGAAACTAGCATTAACAATGCATAAAAAGGATACAAAACACCAGCAAAATGATCTCCCACTCATCTCCAAAAGCATAATCATAAATTGCAAGGATGTTTTTTGCTTAATGTTTGTTCATAGATCATCATAAACAATTACTCGATAGTAATGATATGGATCTGTAAACTGTAACAGCATCCGAGCTTAATGACAATTATTAATGATCATATATGGAAGTTGCTTAGTCAGGGAACAACATTAGTGGCTAAATAAATTTTACTTCACTATAAATTACTATAATTAGAAATTTAAAATAAAATAATAAAAAAAAGGCTATAATTCACAGTGAAATAATCCAAAACAACATTTTCAGTTCACATATGGACAGACACATTAATTCATGAGTATTGCCATTTTCCCAAGTCTACTAAATTACTTATCGAAAGGAAGAGAAGCTTACTAAACCAATAGGGACAAAGAAGAAATACAAATAACGAATAGAAGATGCTGCCAAATAATCACAAGGAGAAGAAAGCAAGAGGATCATGGATGGAGAAACCAACAATTCTTAATTCTATTGTTGTTTATACCCTCGGGCCTTATATTCACTCTGAGTTTAACCCCAATTATTTCTCTAGTTTCTGAATCATTCATTCAGTTCATGTATATCATATTTCTATCGGTACCAAGAACAAAAGCATCAGCTGCAAGCCTGTAGGAAACAACACCTATGAGGGATATATATCAGTGAATTTTTCCAAGAAGCATGAAATGTTTTAAGTCCAATCTGAATGCATCTCCACCGGGTAAGAAACAAAGCGCGCATGGGAAACTGATTTAGATGATGATTGAATTGTTAGTAGTTTAAGGAAGACAAATAATTCAAATTCTTGGAAAATAACTATGACATTTGAGTAATAGGCTAGGATGTGATTGCAATGCCTATACTATAAGATATTTCAAGTGAGTGTCAACTATGGAAGCTGGTGTTATCAAATCCCACAACCACAAGGTTGTGATTCAGATCTTAATCTCACAAGCCAAAAAAAAAAAAAGGCGAAGAAAAGAAGTAACTTTAAATACTAACAAAAAAAAAAAAAAAAAATCTTCAGAAAATTCATGGCAATTCCCGCTATACAATCTATTTGTTCCCGCAATCATGTTTAGTAACTACTGCTATTTTTTGCGCAAATGCAGCAGCCATGTATCATGTATAACCAAATTATAGCTCAGTAGGACTTTCTATGGTAGACTCTTTTTTCTTTTCTTTTTTCTTAATATATTTTTTAACTAGTACCCAAATTTTGCTGCTTTTAGCCCAGCAATCACTTTCTCAAGCTTGCTAATACGAGCCTCGAGTTCCAATCCCGGTGTCTCAATTTTACCATATTTATTGATTTCTTCTTCATTGTTGTTGATCCCAACCATATATAGATCTTCCAAGACTCTCTTTGTTCGTCCCACTGAACCCCTTCTCGGCATAGTCATTTCTACTGGTTTCATCAGCAACTCAATCTTCTCAGCAACATCAACACTAGCTTCTGATGAAGTTGAACTTTGCAAATTAGTGCCAACCAGCTTAACTTCACCAACCAATCCATTTCCACCATATTTACTGATTTCTTCTTCATTGTTGTTGATCCCAACCATATTTTGATCTTCTAAGACTCTCTTTGTTCGTCCCACTGAACCCCTTTTCGGCATACTCATTTCTACAGGTTTCATCAGCAACTCAATCTTCTCAGCAACATCAACACTAGCTTCTGATGAAGTTGAACTTTGCAAATTAGTGCCAACCAGCTTAACTTCACCAACCAATCCATTTCCACCATATTTACTGATTTCTTCTTCATTGTTGTTGATCCCAACCATATTTTGATCTTCTAAGACTCTCTTTGTTCGTCCCACTGAACCCCTTTTCGGCATACTCATTTCTACAGGTTTCATCAGCAACTCAATCTTCTCAGCAACATCAACACTAGCTTCTGATGAAGTTGAACTTTGCAAATTAGTGCCAACCAGCTTAACTTCACCAACCAATCCATTTTCAACAATGTCGTGCTTCTTATTACGTCTCAACATTTCAAGTACTGTTAGATGATCCTCTTCAGCACAGCCCCCACCTTCCACAACATCAATTTTGGAAAGAAAACCTGGAGGAGCAGAGGTATCCTCCTTGTTTCCCCAACAAGTCCGTGGCAATCTTTTGTAAGTCCTTGAACGGCACTGCCTCACAACACCCTTAATTGCATCTTCCCTAGCCAACATTAATTGTTTCCACCACTCCATATACCGGGTGGTAAGATCAGACTCAAAAAGCCGGGGTGGTATATAGATTTTAGTATCTTTAATCGGCCTATTATAGTTCCTCCAAGCAGCTTCAGAACTCACATTGCATCGAGGGACATAGCCAGGAAGATCTTGATCCAACCCAAATTGCATTGCTACACGATGAGGAAGATACTGTTCTATACAGCCTAATCCAACCAATTCACTAACTCTCAAGCATCGCACAAATGACTCAATTTCTTCATACACACAAGATTCAACCGCAACCCACTCTTCTTTTTCCCTATAAAACTTACTCAACATCCCATTGTTCACAACTGTAGCATATGGTCGCCATTGAAAACACTCACCGGCAGAGTCTAAGGTTAACCCCACATTCTCAACTTTCGCCTTTTTTACTCCGTTCCACCTGGCCAAACGTGGCTCTCCACATTTGATGAAATTGGGTAGTGGCCCTAATGTTGGGAATCTCTCCCAAGCCCAAACCTGTACTAATTGGAAAGGCGCACGAAGAACAAGCCTTGAACCATCATATTCAGAGACTGAAACAGAACCTCCCAATTTGTTCGAATCAATCATGTATTGTTTCAATGAGCTCAAATCTCTGTAAAGGTTACCGAGAACAACTGGTGCAAGGGCTAACTGTGTTCCTTTGGAAAGGTGAATTGCAAAAGGAAAAACCTCCATTCTTATGTAATTAATACTGCCAATAAAAGTAAGGCGTCTGGATCCTCTAAAGTGATCATGTGAAGTGATCCTCTAGAGTGATCTTTCATGGAGCAACACGTGTCTCATTAACGGAACCAATGGCTGAGATGATGCCTAGACAAAACGACGTCGTTTTGGTACAAAAAAAAAAAAAAAATTCAGAATTTCAAATTTGCAAATCGAGAGAGAGGATGAGGAAGAAGAAAGTGGATTTGAGGAAGAAGAAAGTGGATGTTGTAAGTAGAACCAAGATTGCTTCATATATACCTGCTTTCTTCCATGTATGGTGGTGCAGAGGAAGCAAGCGATCCACCCATGTCTTCCATTTTTCAGCTGGGTATCGCCGACACAGGAACTGGGTTTTCTTGAAATCAGAAATAGTGGGTTTGGAGGAGAAAGAAAGAGAAGGAACAGCTCTAATGGAATCTACTGTGGGTTTGAGAAAATGGGCTGTTCTAGAAGTTGGGATTCCACCAGTGGGTGAAACCATAAGCTCTTCTCTCTCCTCCTGGATGGTTTTGTCTTGTGACGAAGAAGAAGCCATTAATGAGATCTTCAAGGTTTCTTGGGAAGTAACAGTATGAGAGAAAGAACACAGTTATATATAGATTTCCATGGATGAAATTGTTGCAAACCCATTACAGAGTGAGAGTTTATGGATTGTCCAAAAAGGTGGCAGAGCAAAAAAGAAAGAAAGAGAGGAACAAAAACCTAGCTGGACAGCCTGGCCTGTTTGGCTGTGCATCATCATCAAACCCTCCTCTGTAGAGGCATAATATTTTATAATATTATAATTGAAAAAATAAATAAATAAAATATTGAAAGTCTTTTTTTTAAGAATTTTATTTCATTCAACTCATATTATTTTTACTATTTTATTAGATTTTATTTAAAATAAGAATAATAAAATATCTTTAATCTCTTCTATCTCTTATTAATGTTGATAGTTAATATTAATTGTCATTATGCTTTAGTAGTTCTCATGCATCAAGATGTTAACTATCATTATATTTAGGCGTTGGCTTCTGTCCAGTCCTTAATCGGATTGGATCCTGCTGTTGGGCTCGTGGGGGCCCACTATGGGTCCCGTTTTGATAATCTGAATCGTTCAATGTGTAGAACTCGTCGAGTACTATAAGCCTGTAAAAAATCACGTTAATCGGATATCAGTAGCTATGTGATCAAATCAGATTTTTGTCAACCGTTAATTTATTCACCGTCTATTTTTTTTATACAAAACTGATTTAATCACATAGCTACCGATATCTGATTAATAGGCTTATAGTACTCGACGAATTCTACACATTGAACGGTTCATATTATCAAAACGGGACCCGTGGCGGGCCTCCACGGGCCCAACAGCACGGCCCAGTCCGATTAAGGACTGGACAGAAGCCAAGCCCTTATATTTATATTAATTTGAAATGAATTTTTATCATTATGTTACCAATTACATGATGTAAATATTCACACCATGCAATCAAAATGAATATTCACATCATTATATTCAAATTAATTTGAAATGATTTTTTGTCATTGTGTTGTTAATTACATGATATGAATTTTCATTTTAAAACGTACGAATGTGAATGCGAACGTTCACATCACTATATTAGATGAGAGAGAATATTCACATGTTATGAATGTTCACATTACTACATGTTGTGAATAAGAATATGTTGTCAATTAAAAATATAATGAACTTTATTTTAATGTTTTGTCAATTAAAAATAAGAATGTTAACATGTTGTGAACGTTCACATCACTACATTAGATGAGAGATAATTTTTCGGAAAGGTGTTATAAACATTCACATCAGATGAGAGAGAATGTTCACATTATTTTTAATGTGTTGTCAATTAAAAATATATTCACATCAGATGAGAGAAAATGTTCACATTATTTTTATTGTGTTGTCAATTAAAAATATAATGGACGTTATTTTAATATTTTGTCAATTAAAAATAAGAATTTTAACATGTTGTGAACATTCATATCACTACATTAGATGAAAGAAAAAATTTCGAAAAGGTGTTGTGAACGTTTACATTAGATGAAAGAGAATATTCACATTATTTTTAATGTGTTGTCAATTAAAAATATATTCATATTATATAATAATATAAAATAATAACATCAATATTATTTAATTTGTGTATGAAATTTCTTATGCATGGATCATTTCCCTTCTCTCTCCTCCCCCAACATTAAATATCAGTATTGAATATAAGAGTATAAAAGTTTAGGAAAATAATGTAAATCAAGAAAAAAAAATTTATGGAATAAAAGTATAAATACATAGAACTAAGTAGGTTAAAAAATTTATTCATAAACTTATTAAGTTAGAACACTCCTAAATAATATTTATTAATAAAAAATCTTAAAATATTATGTTAAGTGATTAAAAAATAATTAATTAAACAACACAAATACGTAATACCTTGTGAAACCCCCTTCTTTTTAGGGATGGCAATGGGGGTTAATGGGATGGATATTAATTCCCCATCCCCATTCCCCCTCCCCATTTCCTAATGGATTTGGATTTTCCCTAACCCACTTTAATCCCCATTTTTATTTTATTTTAATTTTTTATATTTAATGTTAACAATCACTTTTTTTTTTTTTTTTTTTTAAGGTTCACAACAAAAGCTAAATATACCTTCAATTTTTTTTCTTTCTTTTTTAATATATTTAATGTTAACAACTTTTCTTTTTTTTTTAATTTTTTTTAAGGTTTTAGCTAAATATACCTTCAATCTTTTTTCTTTCTTTTTTAATATATTTAATGTTAACAACTTTTTCTTTTTTTTTTTGAATATACCACTATGTCACAATCTCTACTTTCACCTTCGTTCCAATCACTACCACCACCAAATATAAAAAAAATATATTTTTAATTTTTTTTTAAGGTTTACAATCTCTCTTGAAATAATTATAAACTGCAAATTGAAATATACCACTATGTCACAATCTCTCTTGAAATAATTATAAACTGCAAATTGAAAATTACTCGACTGTTCCATTTCCATTTTGCTATGAGTTGGCTCAGTGTTTGAAGAGGATGGATGAGTGTAGAGAGATTGTAGGTAAGTGAAATTTCGTCAATTTCTCTGAGTTTATAGGTTAGTGAAATTTTGTGAATTTCTCTGTCTTAACTAGGGTTTAATATAAATTTGTTATGTTTGCAAACAACGGAAATTTTGATGAGTTAGTAAAGTGAAATCACTGAAATTTCATTTTGCTGAAAAATCACCGGAAAAAGAATAGACAATAGTCACCAAAAAGTAAAATTTCATTAACTTTGCTTTTAGAATTTTGTATTCAAATTCATCACGAATCTTGTTATATAGATCTTGATGAAACGATTCAATTTTTTTCAAAAAAAAAAATATATATATATAGATCTACATAAAAAAAAAGTTATAAAATTTTGAAATTTTCACAGTCTCTACTTTCACCTTCGTTCCATCACCACCACCACCAAATATAAAAAAATATATTTTTAATTTTTTTTATAAAAAATATTTTTCATTAAAAAATATTTTCTATCTAAATAAATGAAGCATAACATTGAGAAACAAGCTGATTTCAGTTAAATCTGTTCATAACTAAGAAAAATTCTTTTATTTTAAAAAAAAATTATTTAGTAAGACTTTGTATCCCCTTTTTGTTTTTCGGGCAAATAAATCTTTGTACCCATCCTTTCTAACCAATCACGACTCATGCTTGTTTCGATTCTCTACAATTTGCTTATTTTCAAATACATTTATATATATATATGTACGGGGAGGAAATAATTCTCCTCGTATAATCCTGTTGACCAAGTCCACGCTCCTCCGTACGACGTCGCTTTGTCAATAAAACAAATAGATTCATACTTGTTAATTGAAATTTCAGAACAAGCAAACCATTCTGAAAATTACAATACATAACAAAATAAAATAATATAGAAAAGCAAACCAAAACCTGCACTACACAATGTCCTTAATTTTTTAAAATAAATTTTAAAAATTCGAAATATATATAAAATTTGACAAGAATAATGTGACAATGTTAATTAATGTGTATTTGATTTTATTGTTGAGCCAAATAAAATAAAATAAGATTGAATGTATATTTAGCTTTGGTTGTGAATCTTAAAAAAAATGATTGTAAACCTTAAAAAAAAAATTAAAAAAAAACAGAAGAAAAAAGATTGAATGTATATTTAGTTTTGGTTGTGAATCTTAAAAAAAAAATGGTTGTGAACATTAAAAAAAAAATTAAAAAAAAAAACAAAAGAAAAAAGATTGAATGTATATTTAGCTTTGGTTGTGAATCTTAAAAAAAAAAAATGGTTGTGAACCTAAAAAATAAAAAATAATAATAATAATAAAAAGAGATTGGATGTATATTTAGTTTTGGTTGTGGATCTTAAAAAAAAATATGAGAAAAAAGAAGAAGAAGAAGACGGAAACGAGAGCAATAACTCATCTTCAGATTTTTGAAGATTAATTAATAGAGAGAAGAAGGAGATTCATAAAATTAAAAAAAATAAATAAATAAAGAAGATGAATTTTTTTTGTAGGAATAGAATTTTTCTAAATAAATTAAAAAAATTCTAGATATACATAAAATTTGTCAAGAATAATGTGACAATATTAATTAATGTGTATTTGATTTTGTTGTTGAACCAAATAAAATAAAATAAGATTGAATGTATATTTAGCTTTGGCTGTGAATCTTTAAAAAAAAAAAAAAATGGTTGTTGACCTTAAAAAAAAACAAATTTAAAAAAAAAAAGATTTATTGTATATTTAGTTTTGATTGTGAATCTTAAAAAAAAAAATGGAGAAATTAGTGGATACTCATCCCCTATGAATATTTAAAGAATATCACTTATCCTACCCAATGGATAAGAAAAAAAAGAAAGAAAATCCATATATTTAGGTTGGATCTCCATAAATACCCACAGAATAAGTTATTCATTACCATCCCTA